GAGCTGGGCATGTTTGGGTTTCCTTGCTGAACCTGTTACCCCATCAGCCAATCTTATTTTTTATTTTATTTTTTCCCAATAACCTAGATCCTTCCTAAGGTTATTTAAGTTTTGTATGAATGAATAAACTGTTAAAAGAAAAATAATGAGTCTGATATTTATCTAAAGACACAGAAGTCAAGAGATTTTGTATCTCTTAGAACAATAATTAATGGCATACAGGGATTTTCAAAGGCATGTCACAATTTGTAGAGATTATGAACCACAACCATTTTGAGAACAAGTAGAGGGTGAAACAGGGACTAGACATCCTAAATGTTAAACTGGATTTTCAAAATAATCTGTAGTAATATCTACAGACAATATTAGACTTGGAGCAATCAAGATTAATGAGGAGCTCTCAGCTGATGAAAAATGGAAATATCCAGAGTAATAAATCTTTTAAAAACCTTTGACAGCGCCTTTCCTCTAGGTCACAAGATGATGACAAGGTATGCTTCATTTGGGGATTTTGGGTGCAGCTATTTTTTATTCTCCATTTAACCTTCACTTATAATGTACATAAAAAAGATGTTACTCTACCATTTATAATGAAACGAGTAATTAAAAATTAAATCATTCTAAGCTCGACAAGGCTGGTATTAATTGGTGTCTGCTTGTAAACTCAGAGGACACCATTTGTTGGTCAGTGAACGCACCACATGTGCAAAAAGGGTGTTCCAACATCAATACAGCAGGGGTGGTCCACTCCTGTCCTTGTGTCCTTGGCCCAACCCTCCTGAATCAAATGGTTAGGTCACCCCCTCAGTATGCAGTCAGTTTCTCCAGGATCATCCTAATAATCAAATTATTTGATTTAGGTGTGTTAGGCAAGAAAACAGAGTTGCAGGATACCCTTAGGAACTAGAGATGCCTCTTCAATGTAAAAGCTGTTACTAATGGACATAGGGTCACAGGTATTTATGAAAGTGGATTAAAAGTTAAATCGCAGGAGGCACACAAGGTGTAAGAATTGAAATCTCAATAAGATTTTTGTTATTATTTAGATTTGTTTTTCTTAGAATAAGTGCGTTTGTTCTTGAATTGAGGAGGTAAGTGAGACACTTACCAATGGAACAAGACAATTTACTTTTATTGATTCCATTTTATTTTCCTGTATTTTAATCATGTAAAGCACTTTGCATTGTCTTTGGACTGAATTGTGCTATACAAATAAATTTGCCTTGCCTTGCCTTGCCTTTTATAATAAGAAAACAACTGTGTTGTCTTATTTCAAGTGCATATTATCTAATTATCTTATTTTAAGAGTAAAAATACTAATTCCATTGTTGAATAATCTTATTTACATGCTCTAATTAAGGCTAAATACACTTAATTTAAAGGTGTTTTACGTATTTCTAGATCGTTTTTGCAATGTGGTGCTAGTTTGAGAGCAACATTTTGAGCTAATATCAGGAAGAAAGAATAATTTAAGCCAAATTTGCTTTGTTTCATCAGTTTAGACTTAAAGCCTCTATCATGGACAGAATTTTTTTATTAATGTTAGCCATGACAACCACGGACATTTATAGTATAACATCCTAAAAAATGGTAGCCTGCTAAGGAGTTGCAGAAGTGTAATTCTTTTATAATTAAATCATGAATTATTTTCCAAAAGTAACCGATTACATTAAGTAAGAGAAAACATCTATATTTTTTTATTCATTTAAAAAATGAATACAGCAAAATATTTGCTGTAGAAATCCTCTTGTAAATGTTTTCAGCTACCAGCCTTGCTAATAAAAATTCAGACTTACAACTGTCCTATTTAAAATATTAGCCTGAAGTTGCCTTGCATTATCTTAACCAATCAAATGAGAGGGTTTATTTTATCTAAATAGGAACCAAAAAAATTGACTGTACTTGATTGATAGTCTTATGTTGACACTGCTCAAATTAAAGTTGCTTATCTTAATTCTATATTCTGTCTTGGATGGTATTTTTTGTTATTATGGCTATGTTCACAAAGTGCACAAATACACTATATTGCCAAAAGTATTTGCTCACCCATCCAAATTATTGGAATCAGGTGTTCCAATCACTTCCATGGCCACAGGTGTATAAATTCAAGCACCTAGGCATGCAGACTGTTTTTACAAACATTTGTGAAAGAATGGGTCGCTCTCAGGAGCTCAGTGAATTCCAGCGTGGAACTGTGATAGGATGCCACCTGTGCAACAAATCCAGTCGTGAAATTTCCTCGCTCCTAAATATTCCACAGTCAACTGTCAGCTGTATTATAAGAAAATGGAAGTGTTTGGGAACGACAGCAACTCAGCCACGAAGTGGTAGGCCACGTAAACTGACGGAGCGGGGTCAGCGGATGCTGACGCGCATAGTGCGAAGAGGTCGCCAACTTTCTGCAGAGTCAATCACTACAGACCTCCAAACTTCATGTAGCTCAAGAACAGTGCGCAGAGAGCTTCATGGAATGGGTTTCCATGGGCGAGCAGCTGCATCCAAGCCATACATCACCAAGTGCAATGCAAAGCGTCGGATGCGGTGGTGTAAAGCACGCCGCCACTGGACTCTAGAGCAGTGGAGACGCGTTCTCTGGAGTGACGAATCGCGCTTCTCCATCTGGCAATCTGATGGACGGGTCTGGGTTTGGCGGTTGCCAGGAGAACGGTACTTGTCTGACTGCATTGTGCCAAGTGTAAAGTTTGGTGGAGGGGGGATTATGGTGTGGGGTTGTTTTTCAGGAGCTGGGCTTGGCCCCTTAGTTCCAGTGAAAGGAACTCTGAATGCTTCAGCATACCAAGACATTTTGGACAATTCCATGCTCCCAACTTTGTGGGAACAGTTTGGAGCTGGCCCCTTCCTCTTCCAACATGACTGTGCACCAGTGCACAAAGCAAGGTCCATAAAGACATGGATGACAGAGTCTGGTGTGGATGAACTTGACTGGCCTGCACAGAGTCCTGACCTCAACCCGATAGAACACCTTTGGGATGAATTAGAGCGGAGACTGAGAGCCAGGCCTTCTCGTCCAACATCAGTGTGCGACCTCACAAATGCGCTTCTGGAAGAATGGTCAAAAATTCCCATAAACACACTCCTAAACCTTGTGGACAGCCTTCCCAGAAGAGTTGAAGCTATTCTAGCTGCAAAGGGTGGACCGACGTCATATTGAACCCTATGGATTAGGAACGGGATGTCACTTAAGCTCATATGTGAGTCAAGGCAGGTGAGCAAATACTTTTGGCAATATAGTGTACATCCTGTATCTGATCTATTCATGAGAGCCTTAACAACGAAGATCCGAATTTCTCCAATGCAACTCAGGCCACTGTGCGATGTGGTCCTGAATCCGATATGAATCTGATCTTTTCAACCTGTGTCTGAACGGCCAGGTCGCATTCGTCCGACCTGAACGGCAATAGTACTCAACGAAAGTTTTTATTCTGCTTCTTGCAACGCAGATGCAGCAAGAAAAACAACACCAATAATGTGGAGAGTAGAGATGTCCCGATCCAGGTTTTTGCACTTCCGATCCGATACCGATATTATTTTTGGACTTCCGATCCGATACCGATACTGGCCGATACCAGCCTATCCGAGCATGTATTTAAGTTTAAGTTAAAGTATTTAGCCTTAGTTGTAAGACTCATGTTGAAAAGGGTTTTAGTACTCTTGATAACATCTAGCCAGCTAAATTAGGTGAGATTGAATAAAACACAATGCTTGGTAACAACAAACTTCCCTGTTTATTAAGAGATAAACACAAACTGGACAAAATTATGAATAGCAATCTGAAATTGCACAGTGAACAGTAAAACCGTAAACAATTAAAGGTGCAAGTATTACTGTAAGTTTTAATAAAAATGCAAAACAGGGAAACACTGGCGCAAAATAGTGGAATGGATCGTTTCAATCGGCAAAACTGGAAAATACGGACCGGATTTAAAAAAAAAACTGGATCGGCAGTCTGGATCGGCATTTTACATACTTTGCCGATACGCATTTTTTTGCCAATATCGGCGTCCCGATCCGATACGTGGATCGGATCGGGACAAGCCTAGTGGAGAGCAGTCTTTTATTTTCAACTATCTTGAAAAGATTGTGTCATTAATGCACTGGCAGAGGTTGGGAAAGATTGCCAGATGCTCTCCAGCACCACCATCCATGTTTACATCCATAAACACAGAGCATGCTCGCTTGTGACCTCATTGCGTCCTCTACTGTGCATGGGGGACACTTAAGCTGTATGAATGCAGTTTACACAGGAGATCACATACAAGTTGCATTTATTTGGAAATGTGAAAGGCAATGCAAAAACAATTTGCATTAATGCCTGCAGTGTGAACATAGCCTATGAGAATTTGAGTTGGACTATTGTTGGACAGTGCATATCCTGTGTATCTCTATGCTCAGTATTTTTTTTATATGGCTGATATATGTCGGATATCGTTTTTTTTTTTTAAAGCCCCCAATATCGATATCAGTTTTGGCCTTCAAAATCCCATATCAGTCGGGATTTAGTTTCAAGTTTGAATTAATAACATTTAATTATTCAGTTGTGCATTTAAAAAAAAAGAGCGATATATATTAAATGATCGATTAAACTTACAGTCATTATTTTTGGATGGTGAGAATAATCAGAATAATCCCAGGAGAAAACATGGAGAACATGACAACTTCATGCAGAAAGCCCAAAGGTTGGCATATAAACCCACGTGCTTCCAGCTGCAGGGCAGCTGTGACAGCACACAGCCCATTTAAACCATCAGCATAAACATGTATGACTTCAATCAGTTAATATGTGTTTTTTTACATTTAAATAACTGATGAGTTATTGTTAGGAAAGGAGCATCATAAAACAGATGTATCATTTAGCAGTTTATTTCTGTTTAATTTATTTTAAATTGTAAAATCTGCTAAAAAAAAAAAGCTACAAACAAACAAATTGAAGAATGCATTTGGGAAAAACTGCTGCTGTGGTGCTCCTTGTTTTGCTCTACCTTCTTTTCGTCTCCCTCTTGTAGGAGCTGCATGTTGCTGCGTCGCTGACTGTCTGTCCTTCTAAGCGTGGCGCTCCGGTGCTCGAGCAGATCAGGAGGGGGAGACACACTCCGACCCTGAGGATCCACCCAGGTATAAACGTGGTTGGTAACATAGCCGCCTGGAATCCTCCCGACTGAGCGCACTGAGAGATTTAGCTTCTTGCTGCCCTTCAGCACCTGAGGAGACGACCAAGAAAAGAGCCATCAAGCCACAGTTCAGATGGTTTAATATGAATACATGGACATAACAGTCAAATCACAGGCTTTGTCGCAGACTGTGGGAGGTTTCAGCGGGTAACACTGAGGTAAAGTAGGAGAAAAAAAAAAAGTAAAATTATATAGAAGCAACCAATTTCACAAATGTTCTCCTACACTGAGATGAAACAACCAGTCTTAACCTTCCAAACCTCACAGACACAAAAAGATGGTATTTCTAACACATCTAAAACCACAATTGCTATAAGCTGTGCCTCATTGCTCTCTGATAGCTTTTTGTATGTGCAATCCTGCTGCAGATCAGCCTATCTCCACACGGCAGCTTGGAGAAATCAAAGTGAACAGGGCTGAAGATCCAAGGGATCAGGACCCATTTACAACAAGCACCAGTCTTCACTGTAGGATAGGATGGTAAAATGGCTCTGTAATATGTGGCTAGTTTTATAGGTAGTAGGGACAGACTGTGCTGAAGTTTAAAACCATCTCTTAGTGATTTATCCTTTCCTTAGTAAATGAGATCAATAAAGTCAATAAATCAATTCAAAATCTATGTCTTTTTTCTGTATTTTACGGTGGGGCTGCTTGGGGTATGTATTTTATACATACCCCAATGTAATTATTGGATTGGAACCAGACATCATCAACATGTTGGTTTTCAAATGTGTTTCTTTTGATTAAATAAATGTTCAGACTCTGGAGCGGAAGGATATATGATTTGATAGAGGAAGGATTGTGGTTTCAGCTGCTAAGCATCAACAATTCGGTCCTGGAAATCCTTTCACAGAGATAAAACAAGCAGACTCATCATGGTTTATCCAAGCAAACAGAAAACCCAGCCATCCATTTATTTTTTATCACGCTTATTCTATGCGGGGTGGCGAAGGATGCTAGTGCCTATCTCAAGCTGTAAATGGGCGAGAGGCAGGGTTTACCCTGGGCAGGTCGCCAGTCTATCGTAGGGCATCGCAGAGACAAACAGGACAAATAGCCATTTATACACAAACTCACACCCAAGGGGAAACTGGAGAAGCCACCTAACCTAACAGTCATGTTTTTGGACTGTGGGAGAAAGCCGGAGTACCCAGAGAGAACCCACACATGCTTGGGGAGAACATGCAAACTCATTGCAGAAAGACCCCAGGCTGGGAATCAAACCTTTTTGCTGCAAGGCAGCAGTCCAACCCGCTGTGGCACTGAGCCGCCCCACAAAACCCATATGAAATAAAAGGGGTGGGTCTATCATTTGCATTGACTGGAAATCAGGCTCAGGCCACTAATCACACCTCGGATCCAGACTGCATGGTACATATTACCATAGGTAATTAACTCATCATCATACTCCATAGGTTTAAGCACTCTGTCAAACAAATGATTCACATTCATAGAAATATACTGTACAGGGTAACCTGAAACATTTAGTTATTTTGTTATAATCAATAGATTACTTTAAGTTTCAGCCTCTAAGAGGTTGTTAAAAAATCCTACCGTTTACAGTACAGAGAGCATGCAGCTGTTAAAAAAACAAAACATAAACCAACTTCTTCATGTCATGGTTTTGGTTATGTTATGCTTTACTTTGCTCCTTGTTTTCTAGTTTTTATTGGCTTAATTCATTATTTTGTTGTAATTTCTATATTTATGTTAGTTCTCATGTTGTCCTCTGTTGCCTTCTAGTTTGTGTGTGTGTTCCTTCCCCTTGGCTCCCTCGTTGTCTCCTCACACCTGCTCCTTGTCTGCTCGTTAGCCCTCCCTTTGTCTCTGTCAGCTATTTATGCTCTCCCTCTGCTCTCACTCTTTGTTGGTTCCTTGTTGTTGCTGGTCCTGTCGTCGCTGCAGTCGTCTCCCCTCGTCTCTCCCTGGCTCCTTCTACGTGTTTTCCCTTGAAGTCTCCATGGTTCTGGTCTGTTACATTTTTAGTTGGATTTTTGGACTGCCTTTGTTAACCATTTTCATTAAAACTACAAGTATTCACCTCTGCCTCTGCATTTTGGTCCTCCAAACCACAACCAACCCTGACACTTCAGACACCATTTCTGATTTAACAATAATGATGGAAAAAAGTTGCAAACATCTGAATTTCAAGTGTTTTATCATAATCAGATTCAAAAGTTAGCAAGAAAATGCAAAACTAATCTGAAATAAAATTTAGAAATGAATGAAGTGGGTAAAACATGGCATGCTTTAAAACTGAAAGTTATTGCTATGGTTATTAAAAAAATGATATTTGGCTTAAGAAAGAGTTTGAAATGTTCCTGCAGCCCCTCATGTGCTCTGGCTCTGTTTTTTTTTTTTTTTTTTTACCTTTATTTAACCAGGAAGTCCCATTGAGATTCAGAATCTCTTTTTCAAGAGAGACCTGGCCAAGGTAGCAGCCAAACCACAGGAAGTGCATACATATTTACAACATATTACATTTTTCATAATAAAAAATAAAAATAAATAGAAAATAAAATCAGAGCAGTATGTTAAAACACATTGAGCATCTCAAGAAATATGTTCAGAAATATATTAGCCAAGCACAAAGGTTTTGTGTCCTCTGGATCTCTAAAAGTTTAAAATCCCTGCATCGTAGACCCATTTTAAAATGTGTTACTTGTGCATCTCAACAATCCTGATACCTTCAAAGACAGAAAGCATTTTTTCCCCTTTCGCTGTGGTAAGCTTAAATGCTATTTTCCAACAATTTTCCAACAATTTGTTCTGTTACCATGCTGCCATTTCTTTCTTGTTGTTTGTCTTTAAGAGCTCCATTTACAGTACAACATGTTTCAGGAGCTGAAAATCCAAATTCCAACCGTTTAACTTCTCTTTCATTTTATTCTAATGTAATTTAGTGGGAAAAGCCCAGAATTTCTAGTCATCCAAATGTAGTTATGACAGCAAATATCTCCTTCCTGTCCCCCTTCTCCTCCTTCAAGGATAAATCTAAATGCTTTTGTTGAAATCTTTATGGACAGTTCTTCTGTGGAACAAGTCAAATTTTTCCTTGTCAGTAAAGGAGCCGAAAGGCAGAGTCAATTCATCGGAGCATACTGACCCAGATGGATCAATTTTGTGTTTGGAAGATAATAACTTCAGTTCCAAGGCAACAAAAACCAGTCTGATTATTAAAAAAAAAAACATTTTCAAAATGCTTTTCAGGAGACTCTTCCTCTTTATCTACCTCCTTATCCTTTGTTTATGGGTAAGGTCGATACAGAACCACAGATAAGTGCCCCTGATGAGATGTGAGCAACTTTGTCTTCATCCACAATCTTATATTGATATAATCTTAGAGAAACAGCAGGAGCTGGAAAATACACAGAAAAAGTGTTTTTTTGTTGTTGTTTTTTAAACACACACTTTGATCTACTGGGATTTAATGTGATAAACATCCAGCACATTCATTGTAAAAACGAAAGTTATAAATATTTTTCCAAAACCTTTTCGTAAAGTGAAACTTAAGCAGATGCTTCTCCATTTTCTATCTAATGCTGGAGTTTTAAAAAACATCCTTGTATTAACATCTGCAGTATTCTGTTGTTACATTTACATTTCTGCAAGTGATGCTTCCTTGTTATCTTTTATGTCCTTATTAAATCACCAACTATAAAGCCTTTTCTTATACAGTGGAATCCGCTTGTAGTGGTCACGGATATATTAATCAGCCGCTTATATAGATCAAAAGACTTGGGACAAAATCATTTCTATACAAATGCTGTTTAATTTGTTTATAGTAATAGAGAAATCTGCTTATAGTGTTCATTTTGGCCATTTTATGAATGTAAACATGTGCAAAAGTAATTTTAAAATTACGTGTAGCCTAGTTATTTTATTTTTTTACTCCCATGATTCCTTTCTGGGCGTCTACTTATGCCTTGCTAGCTCGGAGGTACAAGAGCGCTTTGGTGCGAGTACCAGTGCTGCGTGCAGCGAGGAGAGGGTGAGGAGGAGGATGAAGAAGAGGAGGCTGTTGTCTCTTCCAGAGCTGAGATGAGGAATGCAGTTTGCATTTTAAAGATTGGTCTCCTGCATGTTGGTTTCAATAACTTTGACATTTTACATCCTTTTGAAAAAGAAGTGAACTCCGTGTTGGACAACACTCTGATCCAGGGAAACATGGATAAATATGTGATTTGTTAATGCGGCGCAGCAGATCCGCAACACAAAACAGAGGCAGGCTAGCTTTAATTTTCTGTAGCCTATGCAGTTATATTCTATGAAACAGTTTGTTTCAAACTTTATTTTCAGACATGTTAAAAAAATGCACCAGTGGCACAGCAGAGCAAACGCACAGAATAATGCTGCGTTCACACCGGATGCAGCAAGAGCAGCTAAATCGCGTCTGCTGCTTCATTTTTGCTGCTTGTACTAGTTTAGTTCTGACGCGCGGCTGAAGCAGCTTTGCTGCTCTGGCTGCGCGATGCAAAAGTGGGTCTGACGCGCGTTGGGCGGAGCTTCACTATCCCTTCTCTGCCTTGCAGCTATATTTGCTGTAATCAGTGGGAATAAAGTAGTTTTAATATGTTATTAAGTGAGAAAATCCACCTGAAAACTTCATCAGTGCAGTCAGTTCATCCAGATGACCATCCTGCCTTCCAATACTATTTCTGTCGGAGCCGCTCAGACCCCCAAATACCAGCGGTGCGCTGTCAGTAGGAATCCGTTCAACAGCAGCCTCTGGCCGGGTCGCCTCCTCGCGGTTCACCGCGGCGGCTGGTAGTTGTTTTTCATCTAACTAATCTAAACTGCAGGCACCAGGATAATAAAAGCGATCATATTCTGTCGGCAGATTTCTGCATTTTAAGTTAATTTATGCGTCAATAAACTGTTTCAGAGGAGTGATCACAGCGCTCTGTGTCATCAGCGATGTGTCTCTCCCAGCCAGCTCCCAGATCAGCTTCTTTGATTGGTTGATGCTGCGCATCGAGCAGCAAAAGTACAATTTTTCCATCTTGAGCAGCAGCGCGTTTGCTGCGCCT